TAGAGCCAGCGAGACCAATATCTTCCTTCAGGGCTGCCCCAAGTCAGCTGCCTGCTGAGCTGTCTGTCCTGAAGTCTCATTTCCAGAAACACCATGATGGTGAGCCACCTCCATCAGACTTCCAGAGTCATTCATCTTGAAGGAAGCTGAGGTGGGCTCCACATAGTTTATCTGCAACTGACAAAGTAAATGTTCCTGATCATGAATCTTGAATAATTTTTTTAAATGAGATCTACCTCCCTCTTTTCTCCTTCAGTTCAGTAATTCACCCATATTTAAAAAAAAAAAAAAAAAAGGGGCTGGGGATTTAGCTCAGTGGCATAGGGCCTGCCTGGCAAGCACAAGGTCGTGAGTTCAATTCCCGGTACTGGAAAAACAAACAAACAACAACAACAAAAAAAATTCACCCATATTTTGGTTCCCTACCAAATGAGTTTCACATTTACTCTTAAAATATAGCCAATCTGAGCTTCTACTCAAAGTATTTAAGTTCCATTTATAAAGAAACAAAAAGATCTCTGATGGTAAGAACATAGAATCCTTGGCATAAGGTATGAAATGGTCACCAAGGCTGGGGATGTAGTTCAGGGCCTGTGCTTAACAAGGCCCTGAGTTCTATCCTGAGCACCAAAAAAAAAAAAGTTACCTACAAGACCACTATCAACATTAATCAGTGCTTTGACTTTTTTGCTCTCCAAAATCTACTATGTTACATTTGTTCTGCAACAGTTTTATGTAAATAAATTGCCTCTCAACATTTTGAAATAGTCACCTCATTTTTCTCTAATAGATCATCTGTTTTTACAAAGAGCTAAATGCACAGATGCCCCATAAGCTAATTCTCAAACCCCATTTTGATTTTCATCAAGATTTAAATCTACTTACTCTGATCCTCTATTCTTTCTATCACGGTGTTAATTAGACCCAAGTTCACATTTGATTCAGTCCAAGTGCTCTCTACTTAACTAGGTTTATAAGAACTTAATACTTGTCGGGCATGGTAGCACAAGACTGTGAAACTCAGCATTCTGGGAGGCTGAGGCAGGAGAATGCCAAATTCCAGTCCAGCCTGGGAAACACAGTGACACAGCCAATTTTGTCTCAAAATTTAAGGAAGGCTGGAGATGTAGTTCAGTGTGAAGACCCTTGGTTCAATCCCCAGTAACACACACGAAATGAAAACTCAACCATGGATTAGTAATTTTGTATAGACACACTTCTGTATTTAAAAACAAAAGCAGGGCTGGGGATATAGCTCAGTGGCACAAGGTCCTGAGTTCGATTCCAGGCACCAAAAAAAAAAAAAGAAAAAAAAAAAAAATTAAAAAAAAAAAATGAAGGGAAAGAGTACGGTAGAGGAAAGAAAAGGGCAGAAAGAATCCAAAGCACTGTGCAGGGCACAGTCAGACTCTTAACCTTATTCCTGACTTCAGTTTCACCCCACAGTTCATTTCTTTTTGCCTCTTCCTTTAGCTCGAGCTCTCTGGTAATCTACTTGGTTTATGAACAACTTCTTCTAAGCTACCCGTTCCCCATCTAGGTAACACATATGGTTCTAATTCAACTTATCCGACCACGTATTCTTTCAAAAATGTGCTGAGTGACACCCATACTGAAAGCACACACAAGAATGATGCAAATAATGAAACCCAAATATGGTAAACTTATGAGTTTGTGCCTATACATTTGAAAACTCACTGGTCATCCTTGCAGGATGCCAAGACATCCGTATGTATAAAAGATACTAAATAAATGGGCTGGGGGTATAACGTGAACAAGCAATGGTTCTGCCACTTTTAGATATAAACTATTGATATTTAGGTAATCAAGTAACTATAGAGGACAACTTACTCTTTACAAAAGCATTCTAACTGACAAATGAAGAAATGGGAGAGCTATAACATCACCATCCTCAACCAGACAATACTGAAATCTAAGCAATGATCATTGCCAGGCATGGCGATGCATGCCTTAATCCCAGAACTCTAGGAAGACAAAGCAGAAGAATCACAAGCTCAAACCCAGCCTTGGCAATTTAGCAAGACTCTGTATTGAAATTTAAAAATTTTTAAAAGGGCTAAGGATGTAGTTCAGTGTAGTTCAATTCATTCCCCAGTACCACAAGTAAATGACCGAGCAATACTGTATTTTGTAAAATTTTAAAAAGGGCTAGGATTGAAGCTCAGCATGAAAGCCCTGACTTAATCCTCTGTACCGCAAAACAAACATCTCCTCCTCCCTTGGTCCTCAGGCAGCAGCAACCCTGCCAACATCGTGGCATCTAGGACTTCCAGGCTCCTGAACTGCTAGACAGTGAATTTCTGTGTTTAAACTGCACAGTTTATGCTATTTTGTTAAGCAGCCCTAGCTAACTAAGACAGAGTTTACTTTTAGAGATATGTACTTCAGCACGTAATGATGAATTGAGAGAAGGCCTGAGGTTTGCTTCTCAATAACCTAGAAAAGAGGGAAAACTATAGACATATAAATGACATAAGATCAGCTGACTATGCAGTGTGCCTGTTTATCCTCCTAAGTTATCCTGTAAGTTTACTCTTCTTTGTTTCATGCCACTGCTTGTGCAGCAAAACAGAATCATTTGTCCCATATTCAGGCCTTGTTTCTTTGGGGCATCATTTCATTTTGCCCCTCAGTCTGAAACAACCCACTCAAGCCGTTTTCAGACAAAAATATTTTGTCTGTGGCACTATGTCTTTCCCACTGCATCAAATCAGGAAGCACAGGAAGTCTGGTTGTTTCATTTTCAGTGATCCTCAGATTAATCATGGGTGCGAAGCCTAATCCTTCCACTGCAACAGTGCTAACGTATCACGGTCTACATAAGCCACTGGCATAAGACAGCCAGCATAGCGAGGACACACAAAGTGACCCTTCTCCCAAGATGAACACAACACTCCCAAGTCTTCAACACAAGGAGCTCATCTCACTCCTAACAAACCCTCAGCAAATTTGCTTGTGTTGATCAATATATGAAATAATCAGTAATATTTTAAAAGGGTCAACGGTGAGAAGTTCCAAAGTCTAGTTCTAAGCTTCTCCCACGTGAATAACAATTTTAATCTTGTGTGTCTACATTTGACCATCTTGGCAATGCCCCAAAGGACCATGGGAAGGGTAAAATGAATTACAAAGGAAAAACATCAGGTACAGCAAATAAAACTTTGTTTTTTAAGTTAGACTTTAGCCAGAATGGGTGGAAAAATGCAATAAACTAAAAATTTGAGATGCTACCACAATCTAAATTGGTATTATGAATGAACTAAAAGAAATCTCTAGCCAGGCATGGTAATGCATACCCATAATTCTAGCACTCTGGGAGGCTGAGACAGGAGAACTCCAAGTTCAAGCACAGCCTGGGCAACTTATCAACTTAGTAAGACTCTGTCTCAAAATAATATTTAAAAGGCTGAGGTGTAGCTCAGTGTAAATGCACTTGGTTCACTGCCTAGTGCCAAAAAAAAAAAGACATATAGAGTTTAATCTTGAGTCACTGTTTCCATCTACAAAAACAAAAAAAAAAAACCAACAACAAGAAATAAATTCTGTTTCCATCTACAATGTATTTTAATACATTATATAACTTGAAAGTACTTTGTGTATACCAAACAATCAACTTGTTACAAAGATTAAATGTAATAACACTGCTTTGAAGAAAAATCTGTGTATGTAAAATATTCTGAGCACAAATGATTGCATACCAAGGAAACAATGGCAATCAAAATTCAGACCAGCATCCTTCAACTCACCACCAAAGAAACTTTTTAACCACACTTTGCACTTTGATAAGGGTTCTGGCTTAGTGACCCATCCAATGTCACTTTTAAAGACTAATCGGAAACAGGACTAGTTACTCTTGATTTTATATTAGAAACACATAAAGCTGCGCAGTTCCCCTACACAACTTTTCCAAGTCATTTTTAAAAGAATTTTTAAATTCTATCAGGAAGAGTCAACAGTTTCTCAGATCTCTTTGACTACTGGTGTCTCAATTTCTCACAGAGACACCATTATGCCTTGGAAATTGCTGGAATCAGCGATACAATTGTGCTACCTAGTTTGTGTTTATGCATAATTGTTATAATACCACCATCTGAGCCAAAGGAAGCAGGATAACACTTTTAAGTAAAACACAGCAGCAATGGAGGCGTGGTGCCACCTATTTCAGCTCCAGGGGTAGCACCAGCTCTGCTATGCTCTTCTGTCTCTTCTAGGCTCTGGCAGAGTACTTGGCATGGCTGGTGGAAATTACCAGAACTTGTCCTCCAGAACAATATGACGAAAACCCAGGAAAATAGCAAGGGAAAAAGAGGATAGCATGACTACCTCTCAGGGAAAGCAGAGGGACTCCAAGATCACGGAACAGCAGCAGAAGGCAGCTAACAGACGTCTGCACAGACCAGAGATAAATGACACCTGGCTCCTTGGAAAACCTAGTGCTACTGCCAAATGCTGCCATCACAAGCTCGGAGATCAAGATTCCTCAGAATGAACCATCATTACATGCCTTATAATTTACCCTTGTAAAACTGTTTATTTTAAATTTTATTTGTCTGCCTTAATGTAACACTTTAGAACCACTCTTCAAAGAATAAAACACAGTGTGAAAAAAATAAAATATAAGTAGCTAGTATTTATCTTTTTTAAAATTGCCAAATAAAGAATTTCGTATTTAAATACATAGTAATTGGCAAACCCACTAGAAAAACCCGTATGAAGCAAGATCCTGTCTGGATAGAACTGCAGGAGGAAGATAATCCAGTTATACAAAACTCCAACTTTTTTTTAATAGTTCAGAGAGCAGAGTTTTTAAAGATATTCCATATGCTTACAAAGAAAAGGTCACACATCAAGACACAGACCATAAGAGAAGGATTTTGTGTTCTACCACACCTAAGGCTGGAGGGAAGGCAAAACTCCTTAGAAAAATTAATAATGGGTTTAGATCCTTAGATCATAATCTTAAATAAAGTAATTCTTACCTCCCATTGTAAGTGTGGCGGGATATTTCGTATCTGAAGTTTCCGAATCCTGTGAAAGAATTTAAAAATATATTTAAAGAAAAACAACATACAACAGTACAAGGTCTTAATACTCAACAAGGAAGTTTAGAAATTACTTAAAATATTAATTTTATATTAGCTATACAATATATAAAAATAAAATAAAGTCCAAGAAGGAAAAAAAAGGAGAAAGTTAATCACAGCATGCATATTGAGACCATTTGGAGGTCTGGCATTGTTGGATTGTTATGACATATTTTAAAAGTCACTAAAACTGGCACATAAAATGTTTTAAAAACATTTCATCTGATAACTATATTCAGAGCTGAAACCCTTTTTCTTCACATTTAAGCCTCCCAGGACATCAAGCCTTCCTTAGTCCAGATGTTTCAACTCTGAGATCACAGCCAAGGGGGCCATGAATTGAATTCAGAGAACTCAGAATCGAGAAAAGAGGTGAGATTCACATATTCTCACTGTCCCCTGACTGAAATTTCATGCTCTCTTCAATTATGAGTAGAGGCAATAAACCATAGAGGAACAGTACTTGTAGTTCTGACATCGATGTAAATCAGGTATCTTTTATGCCACATTACATTGTTGCAGATCTTTAAATATCATCTACACTTATTGCTGTGAAATTTAAATACATTGCTAGAACTTCTTGTGTTAAGAAGCATATATTACTACAAGTTTTACATTTGCTAAGTATTTTGAAATGTTTCCTTGATAATCCTATATATTTTATGTATTTTTTTTAAAAATGTATTTAAAAACATTTAAGAAGAGGGGTCCAGGGGCCAGGGATGTAGCTCAGCGGCACAGCGCCTACCTGCCAAGCATGGGGTCCCGAGTTTGATACCCCACACCAAAAAAAAGGAAGAGGCCCATAATTTCAAGACAGCCAAAGGAGTCCATAGTACAGAAGGCATTAAGAATCCCAGCTAGCACAGGGATCACAACTTTAACTCCAGTAGACCTGGCCAACTTAGTGACTTTGTAAGACTTTGTCTCAAAATAAAAAAACCTTTTAAAAAGAATTGGGTTGTAGTTCAGTGTGAAGGCCCTGGCTTCCATTTCAATCCCCATTACAGGGGTGGGGGTGGGGGGATCCCCAACTTAATTCAAATGCCTCCATTCCACACATGTGTGTAGGAGGGTGTGTGTGTGTAAAGAAAGGGAGGAAGGGCCAGGGATATAGCTCAGCAGCACAAGCTCCTGCCTGGCAGGCAAGAAGGTCCTGAGTTCAATTCCCAGTACAAGGAAGGGAGGGATGGAGGGAGGGAGGAAGAAAAACAGACTGTACTATAGGTTCCTCCTACTAACTACCCTCTTAATTGAGTTTGATATCTCAGGTGAAATACTTAAATTTTTTTACAACATTAGAACTACAGTGAGCTCCTTCTAGGCACAAAACACCAGTTTAGACTAGATTCACAGATTAGTCCTTTGTCTCTTCCCTTTTCTCAAAGCCAGAAAATGATTGCCACAGCTGCTGCCTATTCAGCCAAGAATTCCAAAGAAAACAAAGATGCACCAAATTCAGGTGTACTGTACCCTGTCGCAATCACAAAGTGGAGGGGCAAAGGGAGAAGCACTATTTACTTCTACAACAGAATAAAAGAAAGCAAATAATCAGGGTACAGAATACAAGAATGTCAATGTAAAAGAAAATTTCAAAACACTACTTTCCTAGAATTTCCAGATGAAGTGCTAATTTGGGATTTGTTTAAAACTAACTCATGGTGTACCCGCCTTTCTGGGGCCCCCTATTCTTTCTAGCTGTCTGTCTTCCCCTTTCCCCTCCTTTTTTGAATAAGCTGTATTCCCGCCTTGCAGGCGCCCGGAAAGGCAAGCAGCAGGTGCCCGGGAAGCAGCGCAGAGAGGTGCGCCGGCCGGCTGCAGCTGCATGGTCGAGAACCGCCATGCCACAGAGAAGCACCGACACAACAGGCCCGCCCGGAGACGTGCATGAACCATCCCGACATGGAGAAACCTCTGGGAAAACATGCCACACGGCGGGTCGCTCTTGGCCCTGCCCTTGAGAGCCAGAAAGGTCCGGAGTCAGGGGAGGAGCAGCTGATGAACAAGGACTCAGAGAACATGAGTACCGACGCCCGATGACTCAGAGGTCCAGCTGACTGAGGACGAGAGAGCCATTCCGGAGCTGGAAACCAGGAGGACCTTGCGCAATACCCGGGGAGACCCCCTGGAGGCCACTCTTCCCCTAACCGTGTAGGCTGCGGTGGAGGAGCGAGTGGAGCTCCGCAGAGGTCTGCACCGAGACTTCATGGATTACATGGGTGCCCAATATTCAGATTTTGAAGAACCGCCTTCATGGAGAAGGTACATGTCTAGGTCACCTGCCTGGGACACTTCGCACCTGATAGTGCTGGGACTGACTAGCGGGCCGAGGACTTCATCCACATGTTCCTGCCGCCTGTGTTGACGGTTGCAGAGGACACTTAGTGGCTGCGGGGTCCCAGTGCGCTGGGAGGCCGGAGAGAACACCCCTCTGCTTTCTTAGACAAGAGGCATTCATAAAGCATACTTCCCTGGATCTCAGTTCAGTAGAGGGACAAACTATTCTTGAGGATGGGTTTGTTGCTCAGTCAGCCCCAGATAGTGGAAGGGGGCTGTAGAGATGGCTTTTGCCCCGGATGGCTCGCCCGAGATGTTGGTGGGAGCTGCCTCCTCAATGTATTGTGGCCATGGTGAGGGGGAGGCCAAAGGGAGAGGGCAGAGAGACTGAGAGGGGATGGCTGCCTTTGTTGCAGCACTGGGAGAGGCAGACCCTGGGTCTGGTTCTCGGGGACCCCCCAGGGGGGGTGGCTCATCAACTGCATCCGTCCGCTGCCACTGTCGGGGCCGGGCCATCTCCAGAGGGACTGCCCTGGAAGGCCCCCTGGGCCATACCCTGACTGTGGGGCTGGCCACTGGAGGTCGGGCTGGCCACTGGAGGTCGGGCTGCCCTCTGGAGCGGGTGTCCCCCCAGGGCTCAGACCCCTCCTACCAGCTGGTCTGGCAGGAATGAAGGGGCCCAGGGCATACTCTGCCTTCTCCCTCTGGCCAGACCGCTGTCTCCAAGAAGAAGCCCTGCGAAATCATGAGTAAAAGGGAAAAAGTGGACCGCCCATTGCTGGACAGTGGTGCTGGTCTCTCGGTCCTTCTTTTCAGCCCTGGCCTTCCTTCCAGCTCCTCAGTGAGGGGAGTCACTGATGTGACTCCTCAGTGATGTCACTCCTCAGTGAGGGGAGTCACTGATGAGGAGGTAATCCGCTATTTTTCGCAACCCTTGGGCTGTAACTACTTGTTGGATCTTTCTTGCATTATCTTCGTTTTCCTGAGAAGCCACTTTGAGGATGCCAACATGTATTGCAGCAGCCATTGATGATTTCCTACCAATCTATCCATAACTCTGTAATGTTTGTATTGTCCCTATGCTATTTCATAAATGTATGTATGTTTGTTACTATGTGTTTTCAACAACAACCACTGAGAATAGTCAATGATTATTTGACTGATCATTCATGTATAGCTCTATTTGTTTTCCCTAGAGACCACTCTGGAGAATCCAAGCTACAGCATAACAACCATTGATAATTTCCTGCCATTTTTGTCTGTAACTCATTATTACTTGTCTATTTGTTTTCTTGAGAAACTATCTTGAAGATACCAACAGGTAAAATAACAACCATTGATAATGTCCTACCATTCTGTCTATAATTCAGTGAATGTCCCTATTGCTATGTTGTCCTTCTTTTACTCTTTAAAATAAAAATAAATAAAAACTACAGTATCTGGCATGTGGGAGGCATTTATTTAAAAAAAATGAATAAACTGTATGTATGTATGTATGTATTTGTACCGGAAATGGAACTCAGGACCTTGCACTTGCCAGGCAGGCACTTGTGCCACCGAGCTATATCTCCGGCCCCATCTTCCTTTATTTAAAAAAAAAAGTAACTCGTGCTCATAAGCATTTTTTTTTTTTTGGTTTTTCTCCGGTACCGGGAACCGAACTCACGACCTTGCGCTTGCCAGGCAGGCGCTTTTGCCGCTGAGCTAAATCCCCAGCCCCTCATAAGCATTAATACCACAGAGCAGGTACTATTTTTCTAGAAAAGGTTTTTTAAGAAAAAAGCTCAAGTACAATGTCAAACACCAGTAGCCCCAACTACTTGGAAGACTGAGGTGGAAAATAATCACATGAGCCAATTAAAAGGAGTAAAGTCTAGCCTAGACAGCATAATAAAGCCTTCAAGCAAGCAAACAAACAAACCAAGGGAATGAATGTTTAAAAATACATCACTGAAGCTAGGTATGTGGCCCCCACCTGTAATCCCAGCACTCTGGTAGGCTGAAGCAGGAGAATTGCAAGTTTCAGCCCAGCCTAGGCAACTCAGCCACTTGGTAAGACCCTGTCTCAATGAATGAACAAATGAACAAACGAACAGACGAAATGAATGAACACCTAGGGATATAGCTCAGTATGAAGGTCCTGCCTACGTTCAATCCCCAGTACCAAAACCATGAGTAATACCCTTAACAAAAAATGTTTTAACATGCTGCTACACATTGCTTTAGCTATCACAGAAGTTATTCACACTACGTAAATATTTACCCTCGGTAACTAAGGAGTAAGAATTACTTGCTACACATATGCAAATAATAATCTACTTCAAAACTTAGTACCTGACACACTAAAGACTAGCAGCGGTGTTAAGAGACTAAGTATTCATCCCCATGGAACTAATTTTTGAAGTGCATTTGTGCTACCAAAATTTTTTCCCCAAAAGGTACACATGTAAGTATACACAATTCAAGTCAATTAGCAGATGATAATTCATATTATAAAAACAAATATCCACTGCACAGAATTTCCAAGAAATCTTTTAAATAGAATAGTATTTTTTGAAAATTACTAGTAATCTAGCCAGTATGGTGATGCATACCTGTAACCTTAGCACTCAAGAGGCAGAAGCAGGAAGATTGCTGTGAGTTCGAGCCTGGGCTACATAAGCAAGT